TCCGAAAATTTTACTATTAACTCAACTCGTACCTCTATTAGTATTATCCTTTAAATTAGTTGCTGGCTGCAACCAATTTAAAAAAACGACTTGCAGATTATAAAAATTTATAAAAATTTAGTTGCGCACATGAACATTTAATCGAAATTTATAGGTAAATTTTGCAAATTTATATGCGGAATCTGCATGTGCACTTCAGATTTTGGTTGCGGGAATTTAAAATTTTGTTGCGGTCCGCAGACTCCGCAACTCAATTTCAAACACTGTCCTAGGGTACTAGCATGTAGAGGCTCATTTTACGTGATGACACGCTAAAAAATGTCATGGACATGTGGTGGCACGTTTTGTCATACGGAATTGCACGTATTGAATGATGCGTATATGCGCGTATCTCAAGAGCGAAGAATCAATAAATGTTTTTTAAAAAAATGCTCTATCTCAAAATTTCAATAAACTTGTTCTGGGTTTCTTAATAAAAAAAATTCCTTGCAAAATTTTACGCATATTCAATTACTTTATTGATATTCATAACATACTGATGTAAATTTATGTTTATTATGTATATTTATTATGTATTATAGTGGTACGTGAATTACGTACGTCCGTTGAGAAAGTGGTTGCTAAAACTTTTTATGCTAAACTAACTAAAATACTATGTTATTCTACTAAAACAACTAAACTATGCTTCAAGACTCCTAAAATCTTGAATTGGAAGGCGGAAAGAGGGCGTGGAAAGACTTGGTCCGAGTTTCAAGATCTTTCGGGTCTTGTGGTGATATTTTCGGGCTGGGATAGAACTTGTGTATCCTTTTTAGCTTATTATTATTTTATTGTATTAGCTTTTCAACACTAACACTTCTAATCCTCTGGTTCAGAATGTTCGTTCTTTTCGTGGTCACGTGCGACGTAATCACGATACTAGCGGCTATCGGTGATTACTTTAAGATCTACGTCACGGGTAGATATTTGGCGGAAATCGGATCTTCAATTAGCCGATGTGGCTGATGTCATGGGTAATTTCGAAGATCAATTAATTGTTCGATCAATTAATTGATTGTTGGCTTAATAAGTGATGACAATGCGTCACGAGAAAATAAGGTATTTAATAAGGGTATTTTTGTTGTATTAGCAGGGTTCTATCTTTTTATTCGACACTCTTTCTTATACTTTGACGTTTTTCGATAGAAGAAAATATGTATAGTCATGGGGACAAGAGTTATACGATAAGTATTTATACTAAGGTAGTTTTACTAAGGAATCGATAGGGTTTTAACACTTCTACTCTAATTTCGACAGTGTTAAGCGAAACTTCCACTAAAACGTTTCTAATAAGCGATACTTCTACACTATTTTTCGGGTCAGAATAATGGTTTTTATTGAAAAAATTCGGGTCAAAGGAACAATTGGTATAAGGAACAACTTCTACTATGATAATTTCGAAGTTAAAACTCAAGTGAGAGTTATCCTTCTTTATTTGGGGCGAGCAAAGAGCTCTTTTATAACAAAATTTACAGACTTAATTTGATAACTAAATTCACGAAATTCGCTAAATTTATGAAATTCATTAAATTTACAAAATTTACGAAATTCACTAAATTTACTAAATTTACTAAATTTACGAAATTCACTAAATTTACTACCCTAAAAGGAAACTTCACCCATCATTCCCGCAAATAGAATAGAATAAACAAAATACAAAAATGGAAAAAAAAAAAAATTGATAGTCATCCGACACAGCCCGATTACGGGTACGTTGACATTAACCTTAACTTTCACAATTATTCCTCTCCGAAAAGAGCTTGTAACACAAGCTCGTCTTGAATCAATTCATTAAAGTGTTCCTTTGGTAAGGTCGTAAGCTTGGTGAGATGGGTATGAGTTGTTCTATAGATTTGTTCGACCCCGAAGGGTTCGAACAAATAGTAGGTACATTTGGCACCCCGAAGGAAGTACTCACCATACTCCCTTCTCGCCGCAGCTTTTTCGGTTTGAGTGGCAACAGACATACAGGCACCGAAATAGTAAGCATATACTAGGGCATCAACCCTATTTACCCTAGCTTTGGCCCTATTAATTTCATTCCGAGCAAGGGCCAATTTAGTTGCAATCTCTTGACAAGCTTCATAAGGGCAGGGCGCGGCCATCACGAGCGAAGGTTCAGTAGCAAGTAGGTCCTGTTGAATCAGAGTTTCATGAGGCCATAGTAGCAGTAATTTTCAATATGTTTTTAGTATTAAGGGAGTTAGATTGGATCTGAAGTTTGCCTTTCAACGGCTAGTTTGCAGCCTTTATATAATTTTCTTCGTTTTTCCTTCTTTTGTTCTCTTTTCGCTTCTTTTTTTTTTTTTTTTTTTTTTTTTATATATATGGTCTTTTACTCATGTATTTCAATATGTGAGTTTCTTAGTCGCTTCGTTCGTAATAAGGCTTGAGCAAGGCTTTATTTATGGGGGTCTCTAGTACTTTCCTATTTAATTATCTTATCTTGTAGGTGCCGTTTGGAAGAATAGCATGAATGTAATACGGCCCTTTCCATTTGGGCGTTAGTTTGTTGGTATGTGTGCCCAATTTCCAGGCATCTAGCACTAATATTTTATCACCAATATGGAAATCATCCATGGCTTTGACTTGTAGATCATGACGCCTTTTTTGCTCTTGCTATACCCTCTTAATTTGGCACAGTGCATTCTTACGGGCTTCAGGCAGATTACTATTGATCTCATATAGCCTCTGTATGATAGTATCGTTTAGTAAATCTTCAGATTCACTAGGGTGAATAGGTAATTGAGCAGTCCTCCTATACACCAAGTAGAAAGGTGTTTCCTGTGTCGTTGCTTGTTTCGCTGTGTGGTAGTTGAACAGAATTGGTGGGATTAGTAAGTCCCAGTCCGTCACATTGGTGGTTAGTCTTGCTATTGCATGGCACAATGTTTTATTAAAACGTTCTACAAGTTTATTGGTTTGTGGATGATAGGGGGTGGGGCAGTGGTTCTTAGTACCTAAAGCGGTCAATAGTTCATCTATAATGTGGTTGTTGAAGTGGGAGCCTTGATCGGTTAATATAATACTAGGACATCTGTGCCTGCATATTATATCTTCATAAATGAACTGGGCCACCTCTTGCGCATTAGCCCTAGGAATTGCACGGGCTTCTGGCCACTTTGTCATATAGTTGGTCGCAACGACTATATATCTGTTCATACGGGGTGTTATAGGAAGTGGGCCGACTATATCGATTCCTATTCTATGAAAAGGGCTTTTACGGGTATCGGGTGCAATAGTTTCTTAGATTTTCTACTCCCATAGTGTTGGCAGCTATCACATGTCTTCACGTACTCACATATATCGCAATATATTTGAGACCAATAGTAACATCCACAAAGTTTATTGAATACTATATCTTTTCCAAAATGGGCTCCCATTGGATGATCGTGAGCTAAGCTTAGTATTTAATCCATCTCTTCTTCCCGTAGTACTTTGAAGGATCTGTTGGTTTGTTTTTTATTTTTCTTGTATAATTGGCCAGTCTTTACTTGGAAGAACTGACTTTGTTTTTGTAGTCGCTCTCGTTGTCGATTATCATATGCCTGTGGGTACTGTCAATGCTAAAGGTATGTTATCAGCGCTGAATATAACTGGGGTCCATTTTCGTATTTTCTTACAGTTTATTATTCGGTTTTTCTTCAATTTCTATTTCTGCCAGGACACCGACAACCTGGACTGAATTGAACTTTACATTGGGTTTACTTTTGCTTAGAGTTTAGAATAACCGGATTATTTCTCTTGGTAATGTGTAGGAGTTTTTTTTTTTTAAAAAATTTTGAATTTGAATAAGACCAGTATGTTTGGTCTTTTTTAGTTTCATCTTTTGGCCAGAATACTGACAACCTGGGCTGAATTGAAGTTTACGTCAGGTTTTAGCATGTTTAAATTGGGGTAATTCTTTTCTGTCGATGTTCAGCCTTTTCAACCCAATTCCGTTTTTATAACAATCCCAACTTTGTATGCGTATAGTCATAATCCTTATTCCTTCTATAGTTATTTTCTAACCATCTATTTTCCTCGGGTTTAGTCGATTTTCCTTTTTCTGCGGTTATATCTTCTGTAAGTTGTATATAAAGGTCTGCCTTTTTGGCTCCACATTCAATTCTTAGGTCCTCGTAAAATATTGTCTGTATACTTCGTTAGACGTGTCTTAGAGTATTCAACTCTGTTGAGTACCTTTGCAACCCTTTCTTCAGTAGTATTAATCTTCTGGCCAGTTTTTACCAGACATAGCAAGTTTCAGTATTGGTATGCTTCGTATTGTACAGTTAGTCTTGTTAAAATCTGAATTTCTTGATCTCCAAATCTTGGTCTTATTTTGAACCAATCATAGTTGATTTGTAACCTTTCTTATTTTTGTAGGTACTTTGGTAGTTTTTCTTGAGTAACACTAGCCTTAGTAACTTGCTTTGGGCTTCCCAAACTTTATTTCGCTAGTTCACTTAGCTTTCAAGTGCTGGGTACTAAATTTTTCAATTCGTATTTAGTTTTTTTTTTTTTTTTACTGTGTTCTACTATTTTCTGATAATTCTTATCACGATTCTTTCACTGTTTGATTCCTATAGCTTCATTTAATAATAATATCGTGGATTTGTAGTCTTTATTTAATTCTTCATTTTCTATAAGTGATTGGTATATTCCGACTTCATTAGGTTTAATAACTATGGGTTTCCTTTAATGTTTTTCATGTTATTCTTTAGAACCTTCAGGCTTGTTTCATGTGGAATTTGAGTGGGTTTCTTGAATAGGGCCCCACAACTCGCCCTATTCCATTCTGACCATCCTTTTTCTAGTGTCAGGTCTGTTGTATTTGTTCATTCGGTATATCTTTTTTTTTTTTTTTTATGGTCCTTCGATCTTAATTAGGTTTAGGTAGATAGTTGTTTTTGCTAACTGGGAATTATAATACTCCCATTCAATATAATTGTTGAATTCTTGCGGCCAATCTGAATCGTCTAGATTAGTGGGAATTCAGTGAATATTTCCTCATCAATATTGGTATTCCACCAACACTGATCATGTCCCAAGTGACTTTGGTAATAGCCATAGCCTGTATCTTTATATTCCTTGTTGCTACTATCCTGGAACTCAAGTCCTTTGGTTAATTCTCCCTACTGGGGTATATCAACCAGGTAGGCTTTATCCAAGTTCATATATTGAGCTTCATTTTCAGCATTATTATTATTACTTAAAAGTTCATCCTGATATCCAATTAAAGTTGACTAGTTTATTTCTATCCTAGCTTCGGCAGCTAGTTCGATTAAAAGACCTTGGTAGTATCTTTCTCGCTCTATTTTGCTGTTGATTATTTCTTCATAGTCTTGACTTTCACTTTTGTATTCAATTTCTCCATCATCTTCCCACTCCATAGTATCATTATCTTCCTATATAATAATTTCTATTTCCTTATCGGAATCCTCATAGAAGTATTCTTGGGCAATGGCCCGAAAAACTTCAACTTCTTTGAATTCGGCAGCTGGGGCTACTAGGGTTTCCTGTTTAGGTAAATGGGGTTGTTCCTTTTCATTTTTTTGCATATTGATTTCTTTTTAGTTAGGAGTTCTTGCTTTGTTTCCTTCTTGATTTCTTGGTCATTCTCGACAGTGTATTAGCATTGTTATGAACTCTTCCGGCTCTATGTATTATGGTATAAACGTATGGCTGGAGGTGTAGAATCCACCTAGCCCGCCTTCCTTTTAACGCAGTACTGTGGAGCCATTTTAGGGCTATGTAATCGGTAACAATGATAAAGGGTTTATACCCTAGATAATGGTGGAAGTGCTCTATAGCCAAAACCATGGTGTAGCACTCCAATTTAGTAGCTGAGTAATTTCTTTCTGGTCGAGTGAGACTTTTACTAGCGTATGCAATAGCATATTCCTTACCTGTTTTGTCTTTTTGCGCTAGACGGCTCCTAGTCCAACACCCGACGCGTCAGTGTAGAGATAGAAGGTCTTTTCGAAGTTGGGATATCATAAGACCGGAGCCATGGTCAGATGGGTTTTCAGAGTTTCAAAGGCTTGTTCTTGCTCACTTTCCTACTGGTATAGGACTTTCTTTTCTAATAACTTATGTAAGAGCTTTGCTATTGTGGCAAAGCCTTTAAAGAATTGGCGGTAATAAGAGGCAAAGCCTATAAAGCCTTGTAACTGTCTTAGATTGGTGGGTGGGAGAAATTTTTGACTTTCTCCACCTTTTTTATATCAGGTTGGATACCGTTACTTCCTACTGTGTGGCCTAAGAAGTCAATGCTTTCTTTAAAAAACTCACACTTCTCCGGGTTAAGCTTTAATCCCGATTCCCTTATTGCTGTAAAAACTTCCATGAGGTGCGTTAAGTATTCATTGTACATTTTAGAGTAGATGATAATATCATCTAGGTACACGGTGATGCTTTTCCCGATGAATTCTTGCAGGATATGATTCATGGCCTGCTAAAAGGTGGCTGGTGTATTGCACAGACCAAAGAGCATAATGTTAAACACATATACCCCTTGTCTAGTGACAAATGTGGTTTTTTCTCGGTTCTCAGGTTTCATGTGTATCTTCCAATACCCACTGGCTATATCAAGGCTGGAGAACCACTTGGACTTGTTGAACAAGTCCAGCATGTCATCAATGCGCGGTAGGGGTACACATCCTTTTTTGTCACAGCATTAAGTTTCGGTAATCGACGCATAGGCGTAGTTTGCCATTTTTCTTGGGCACGATGACTACTGGTGAAGTCCACATGGCCTTTAGCTCATAGACAAGCCTATTTTGTAACATCTTCTTTATTTCCTTGTTCAGGAAGTCTTGTGCATCTGGAGAGATTCGGTATGCCAATTGTTTAATCGGTTTAGCCTCCCCGGTATCGATCTCATGTTGGGTTTCGGCTGCGTATCCCAATTTATCCAACCTGGTAGAAAACAAACTGCCATTATCTCTTAACACTATTATGACTTCTTCTCTTTTTTTTTGAGTTAAGGTATTTTTTTGTACCAATTGCTTGATTATTTTGTCTAAGGTTAATTCAGGCTGGGTGTCTTCTTCCGGGATTGAAATTTTTTTTCACATTGGTCAAATAGATTGCAGGGTTATCACTAGCTTTATATTGATTAAGAGTCATTTGGTCTACTTCTGCTTTGTCAGTATGATAATTCTCTACTTTATCTAGATCTTTTTCTTCTTCATAAAGGTCGAAGAAATCGTTGTTTTCTTTCATTTTATCTTCGAGTGGCTCTTGTTTGTTCTCCTTTGCTTGATATATTGGTACTTCTAGGCTTCGGCCTAGATACCTAATGTGTAATTTCTTCTCATCAAAGTGGAGGCATGCTCGGACCTTTTGGAACCAATCTATTTCAAAGAGCATCATTTTTTCTGAGTTTTCTATACCTGGAAGTCAGTAGGTACTAGGACGCTTTGCAGGGCTAACTTTACTCCTTGTATTTTTTTTAAGGCTTGTTCCCGGACCCCATTGGCAGTAATAACAATTGTATTTGAGGGTTCAGTGATAGTGAGCCAAGTTTTCTTGCTAGCTTAATTGACATTATGCTGACTGCGGCACTAGAGTCTAGAACTGCTAGAATTGGGTTATTATTAACCCTGATATAGCATTTAGCCGCCATGGTTCGTTGAGTACTTTTGCTTTTAGCAAAATTGGTTGCTTCTGGGGTGTGGATTATAGGGCGCCGCAGGGCTTGGGCCAAGTTTTGTCTTTACCAGGAAACATGAAGCAGTTGTGTATACGTGGCATTGGCACGTTGGCTTAAAAGTCTTCAGCGATATTATATGGTGATATTGAGTCTATAACTGAAAGGCCTCGTTTACGTCTTACTTTGTTAGATACTTCAGGCTAAGGCTGGACAGGAACTTGTATCAGGGTATCTTCTTCTATAGGGGCTGGTTGGGGTGTTTGGGCACAAGTAGGGTTCTAAAGCAACCCTTTTACTTAGCCAATCGTTTCAATTTATTTCTTCCGGTCTTTCAGTTCGGTTTATAACATATGCTTCATTTGCTAGACCATCATCATCGATATCGCATAAGTGAACACTTCTAGCAGTGGAGGTGGTTTCCGTATAGTTGTTAGGGTCGTTGGTGATTTTGGCGTGGTTCTAAAGGACAGTTTCTGGCTATATAGCCTCTTTCTCTACAATTATAGCAAATGATGGCTTCATTTCTCCAGGGTTGAAACTGCCACGGCTGGGTTTGGTTATTATTAATTTGGGGCCTAGGTTGATTAATTTCTATGTTAACAGCCAGGGCCGTAATCAATTTTTCGCATTTTGTAACTATCTGCTATATCTTTTGTGTTAAATCATTAAGAACCTAACTAGTAGGTTCTTTCTTATTCCGGTTCTTATAGTATTGTCCAGCTTCTATCTTTCTTGCTTTTGCAATGGCATCATCCAGTGTGTCAAAGTCGTCAGCGGACATCAGGGCAGCGGTTTTGAAATGTAATCCTCCCATAAACATCCTAACGACGTAGGTAGCAGGTATTTGATGATCAGAGTCAACTCTTTTCAATAATTTTTTAAACTGGTATGCGTATTTATCGACTTTCTCTTTTTTTTTTTGACTCAAATTAGTCAGTTCTAACTGCCATTGGTGCTTATATTCCGGGGTGGCAAAATACTTAGTAAAGGACTGGACGAAACTATCTTCAGGGTTATCCTCGTCGTCCCAAAATAAAAAGTTCTTTCTCTGATCATTGTACCAACTAGCTGCTAGGCCTGATAAGTGTCCTGAAGCAATTTTGATTTTCCTTTCCTGGCCCCAATTATTGACATCAGCAGCCCTCTCAAAAGCTTCAATCCATTCAACTGGGTCTTTGTCTTCTTCTCTTTTGAATGTTTTGATATGGACCTAGTTGTTTTCTCTGGGATTTGGGAGTACATTATGGATAGCAACCTCTCGAAACGCTTGGGCTATTTCTCTAAGGAGCTTGGGGGCCGGGTTTGGTTTAGCCAGTTGTGGTTGGTATGTGGGCAGGAGATTGTGGATAATAGGTTCTCTATTGATTGTCCTATTGTCTTCAAGATGGTCTAGGTCCAACATAACTTAATTAGAAATTCTTTAGTTACTTAGATCGTTTGTATATAATTTAGTAAAAGAAATTTTTTTTTTTGGAGTGCTTGTGAATTTAGAAGTAAGTATCTCACAGTCACCACCAATTGAGAAAGTGGTTGCTAAAACTTTTTATGCTAAACTAACTAAAATACTATGTTATTCTGCTAAAACAACTAAACTATGCTTCAAGACTCCTAAAATCTTGAATTGGAAAGCAGAAAGAGGGCATAGAAAGACTTGGTCTGAGTTTCAAGATCTTTCAGGTCTTGTGGTAATATTTTCGGGCTGGGATAGAACTTGTGTATCCTTTTTAACTTATTAGTATTTTATTGTATTAGCTTTTCAACACTAACACTTCTAATCCTCTGGTTCAGAATGTTCATTCTTTTTGTGGTCACATGCGATGTAATTACAATACTAGCAGCTATTGGTAATTACTTTAAGATCTACATCATGGTAGATATTTGGCCGATGTGGCTGATGTCATGGGTAATTTCGAAGATCAATTAATTGTTCGATCAATTAATTGATTGTTGGCTTAATAAGTGATGACAATGCGTCACGAGAAAATAAGGTATTTAATAAGGGTATTTTTGTTGTATTAGCAGGGTTCTATCTTTTTATTCGACACTCTTTCTTATACTTTGTGTTTTTCGATAGAAAAAAATATATATAGTCATGGGGACAAGAGTTATATGATAAGTATTTATACTAAGGTAGTTTTACTAAGGAATCGATAGGGTTTTAACACTTCTACTCTAATTTCAACAGTGTTAAGTGAAAATGTTTCTAATAAGTGATACTTCTACAATATTTTTCGGGGTTAGAATAATGGTTTTTATTGGAAAAATTCAGGTCAAAGGAACAATTGGTATAAGGAACAACTTCTACTATGATAATTTCAAAGTTAAAACTCAAGTGAGAGTTATCCTTCTTTATTTGTGGTGAGCAAAGAGCTCTTTTATAACAAAATTTACAGACTTAATTTGATAACTAAATTGACGAAATTCACTAAATTTACGAAATTCATTAAATTTATAAAATTCACGAAATTCACTAAATTTCTAAATTTACTAAATTTACAAATTTTACTAAATTTACTACCCTAAAAGGAAACTTCACCCATTATTCTCGCAAATAGAATAGAATAAACGAAATACAAAAATGGAAAAAAAAAAAATAATAGTCATCCTACACAACCCGATTACAGGTATGTTAACATTAACCTTAACTGTCACACCGTCCGTACTAAAACCTATGCCAATTGGACTAGTAAAGTGTTGCAAAGCCCGAGTCACTAATGGTCCAATTAGTACTAGTATACATGGGTGTCTAAATTTCCCATCTTACAGCTATTATTATAATTTTTGAGACACCTGTAAAAATTTGCCAAATGATTTTTTGGCCAATCCGGTTAAGTTATATTATTTCAGGAATAATATGATTCAGTAACAGATATATCAAATATGTGATTTAATAAGATCAGGTGA